CCAAAAATTTTATGGGGCCGTACGTGTTACCCGTAGGTATGCGGTGGCTGAATTTAAATTTGCGGGGGTGACACATGGGTTGGGAACATTCCCCTAAATTTTCAGCTTTACTAGTTTTTGTGGTTCCCGAGTTGAAGAGAGCAGACAAGCTGCAAAGCTGAAATTTCACGGAGATATTCGTTATCCCTGTACGGCCCGAATTCTTTAATTTCAGCCTTGCGACACGTCTAGGTTTCGCGTTAAGCACATGTACAGGTCCAGTTTTGTTCAATTCTGGCACAGTTTTCATTCGGTAACCAGTCTGAGCAGGAAGCCCATGAGAGTTTGCTAGCCTTTGTGCTTAAAGTATTTTTGCTTTACGCATATGTTTTATGAACGAACACTTAAATATTGAAATTGCAACACTTTTACCATCTTTCTCTCTCGGTAATCAGACAAGTCAGAAAGCACAAATTTTACGAGAATGCTTGCGTATCTTTTGCGGCACTAAAGCCATAAACGCCTAATGTCTGGTCTGCGTGCACGTCTAGGTTTCGCAAATTGGGAGTGCAAAATTACAGGCAACGTCTGTTCACGATAAGGCCTTCTTCTTTTCCTCATAGGGCCCTTCAGGCCTGTACTGCCTTTTTGTAGTGAAAATATCACACGATTTCACAGTGCAGCACTACCGTCCCAGTCGTTAGCCGTCGTCCCTCTCCCGCGATTTGCAATTTTGAATGCCCAAAAACACAGCCAGCATGGGGGGTGCGCTTGTTAAACTGTAAAGCAACAACCATTCATGTTGTTATTGTTCTGATTGTTTCAATATTTATGCAAAAGCATATCTTCGCACCCGGCATCTCTGGGCACATCGCCTGTTTCCTGGTCTGCCAGTTCCTTTCACTTTTTGTTCGCATCATCCTCTACAACCTCACACTTTTTCTTTAATTACCGTCTAAGTTGCCATAAACTGTATCATGCGGGGTCTTTTCGCATTTTTGTTATTGAATGTCCGCCATAGGCTTGATGATGCAGTTGGCAAGTAACGCCATTCGCAAGTTAATTCTCGTGATTTCGCTGCTGAAAAAAAAGCATTAGAATAGAAAGTTATAATAGGAAAAGATGGAAACAAGAGAAAAAAAGGAAGGGGAGAAATGAAAATTAGGAAATTTGTGAGGTTATTATAATTGGTAAGAAGTGTTTCGGTCCATTAAGTCGTATACAGCTTTTCTACAGTCTCTTTATTCATTTCAATGATAAATCAATGCTTGTGCGTACCGGGATATCAAGTTGCAGTATCAGGTTGCATCTAAATAAACATTAGGAGAGAGAGAGTACTGATTGTTCTGCTATTTGTGTGATTGCTGCTGATAGATGCTATTACTCGGGCCTGCTTTGAAGTGCTTCGGCCTCTCAATGACGAGTGAAGTGTGGAGGTGTTTTTACTCTCGTTCCTGACAGAATCCACTTAAATTTGAATTTTCAAATTTATTCTCAAACACTCCGCTTCATTTACGCATCGCTGCTTTTTCTTTTTTTTAGAAAACAGGCTGTGCTACAGAATCCGCACTTTATGTTTCTGGAACCACTTATGCGCGAGGTACCATTGCCATCATCGGCCGGTTTTGAATCACCATGTGGTCGCGAATGGTCGGACGAGAAACCAACTTTTTCGGGCTTTCATCTTCAAGGTTCCTGTATGTATAATTCCATGTGCCTGTTCAGTATGGTGTTTCACTCTTTCTGGGCTGCATTCGCACGTGGGGCACAGCTTCACCAGTTTCTCCCAAACCGGCTCTCTCTGTTATATGCAAACATCCTTGCTATGTAAGTGTGCAAAAAAGTTCGAAAACATAAGCCGACTTTAGAGAATTCCAGTATGTCTCTTATGTAAAGGGGCATCATAATTATTCAGGTGTATTTTTGTGGCCAAATTTTACATTCTGTTTTGTTAAATGTTGCCTCGTTTTATACTCTTTGGCAGAATTTCACCTCCTTTTCACTCTTTTTTTAGTAAATCCAACCTGCCCACTAGTAGCAATCGAATTGGGCTTCCATAAGAAACTTATTC